GGGGAGCGGGGCGGAGGAGGGAAGGAGGAGGGAGGGGGCCGCGAGGGGAGGGCCGCTGTCGCCCCCGCCCCGCCCCGCTCCCCCGCCGGGGTGAGGGGGCTCGCTGGGAGAGGACGCGGGCACGAGCACGCAGGTCGCGCGATGCTCTACTCCGGTCCCCGCGCTGCGGCTGCTTGCAGAGAGCGTGCCGGCCCTCCACCTCCGCGGCGGATTTACGTACCTTCGCGCGGACTCGGAGTAGTGCTCACGTGTGGGCACTGCCCGTCAGTGTCCAGCAGGCGCCCCGGCGCTCAGCGGTGGCCCCCGAGCTTCTCTCCACCACGCTCTGCCAGCGTCTGCGGAGTGCCTGCTTTGCAGGCCGGCCCACTCTGCACAAAAGCCCCAGAGGGCCTCCGCCCCCTTCTTCCGTTCCTAAGATGCCAAATCCGAGCCCTTACTCTGTTGGCAGTGTCTCTCCTGAAGACCCAATTTCCTTTTACTCCTGTTGGCTGCTCTTCCTGGCCCAGGAGACCAGTTTCTTCTACTGACCCAGAAAGCAAGCTCTTGACTCATGTCCTCCTTTCGAGCTTCAGAGCGCCCAGCAAAATAAGTTGAGCGAGCTTATGGCCTGAGGATGTTGCTCTTAACGGCCTCGTCTCCCTTTCTGGTTTCAGGTTTCCGGAGCAGACCTAGAGCTTCACCAAGAAAATTCAACTGGGAAACCAAGACTGATAGACTCTCATTTCTTCAGACAATAGGCAGAAGCCACAGACCTCGGATTTTTGCAACACCTGTTTTCCCTTTGGAGGACACTAAATTCTTTGAGAGGACAAAGGCAGTTCATTATGGCAACTGAACTGAAAGAACAGGAAGGAGCCATTACTGTGATTTGGTGACAGTTCTTCAAACTACCGTGTCTTAAGGAAAGCTGGATAAAGAACTTCTGAACTTTTGGGTTCATTAAGTGAAAAATCAGCATGGCTCAGGTAAAAAGCTCTAGCGTCCTCCTTCAAGACCACTCACTGGGAAGCCTGTTTGCAATGTCACTCTTGAATTCTGCCTTAGTCAACAGTGTTGACCATCCCCAGTGAGCCGAGCTCTGTATTAAGCACCAGGGGGAGATCTAGAGGAAGGAAAGGAGACAGGCCTCCCTGCCTTCAGGGAGCTTCCAAGTCAAATGAAGGAGGTAGGCTATACACCATGTCACAGGCACTGATGTCCGTGGGCAAAGCACCTTATACTCTGTACTTCTGGTCTGTGGAGTACTTGGGCATGAGGGAGTGAAGAGCCTGGTGAATGCTTCATTTGTTTTTCTTTTTCAGCAGGAATTTTATTGAGCTCCTGTTACATGCGAGGCATTGTGCTTGGAATACAAAGATGAATAAGATTGTCCTTGTCCCCAGTAAGCTTCCAGGCTAGTTGGGGGGAGGGGGAGGAATGGAAAGACAGTCTATTATTTATTTTTATGTTCACAGTGCCTTGCTGTAGTAATGACTGGCTGGTAGTAGAGCATCTGCATCTGTTGACTAAAGGAGTTTGCAAGGATAGAGGGATGCTACTGCAAAGTGGTACTTCTGCCTGGATGGAGAGAAGACAGAGAAACTTGACGGATGCATAGGGTTCTGCTAGATGAATGAACAGAGAAGGGCATTCAGACAGAGGGCCTGTGGGCAGAAGCTTAGAGGCCTGGGAAAATGTGATGAGGGTAGGTAGGGGGCCAGAGGATTAAATGGGGCATCATTAGGGAGAAAGGGTAAATAATGATTGTGGGGGTTGTTTTCTGGAGAAGTCAGCAGAGTGTGGCCCAAGGGCTTTTTGTGCCTTCCTAAAGAATTAGGTGTTATTCTCTAGGGAGTGTGAACTCCCTAAAGAATGTTAAACAGCAGAGTAATGTCTTGCAGAAGGTAGTTGTCCCTGTGAAGGGGGCAGATGGATTGGAAGGACAAGATGGCCAGAGGATCTGCTGTAGTCTTCTGAGGGAAACATGCTGCTTCTGCTGCTTTGAGTGTTCTCTGAGGACAGCTCCTGTACCAGTCACACCAGGATGGCAGCCTGAGTGTAGTGGGATTGGCTTGCTTCCAGGTGCTGCAGTGTGCACAGCTCTCTCCCCCCTCGGCAGAGTAGAGCCTCTGTCTGTCTTACTCCCCAGCATGGTGTTTACCGTTCTGCTAAGCATTTTACATCAGTTTCGTTCTCCTTGGCCCTGTGAGGGCAGGCATTCTGACAGGCATTTCACATTTGAAGGAAGCAAAGCTTCAGGTAGAGAGACTTTCCCAGAATTACACAACCCAAACAGCAGAGCAAAGATTTTTAACTTGGGATTAACTTTCTAAGTAGGAAAAGTATGCATTCTGGAGTACTAGTTCAATAAAGCCAGTTCAAGAACCGTTGTGTTAGAATAAGGGGTTATTTCTCAAAGCACCCCTGTTTAATTAACTTTTTTAAACTTTATGTAGCATTCCAGGCAGTGGCAGCACCCACGCCTTAAATCCCAGCACTGGGGTGGCAGAGGCAGGCTCTGTGAGTTCAAGGCCAACCTGGTCTACAGAGTGAGAGCAAGTTCAAGGATAGGCTTCAAAGCTACGCAGAGAAACCCTGCTTCAAAAAACAAGCAAACAAGCAAAAACTTTATGTAGTGTATACATATAAGAGGCCTAAATAAGGCAGAGGGGATACGCAGGGTGGGATAGGTGTGGTGCACGCCTTTTCCCAGCACTAGGGAGATAAAAGTAGGCAGGTCTCCGAGTTTTTGGGTCCTGGACAGCCAGGGCTACACAGAGGAACTCTCTAGAAAAGACAAAATAAATAGATAAATGAATGAGTAAATAAATAGCCTAAGTGGTCAAAGAATCTGTATATTCAACTCCAGAATCAAGTGCTATAAGTGATAGCACTTAGGAAATTTAAAAATCTAAAGTGAGAAATAACCTGATAGAAAATGTACTTGGCACCAGCGAGGTCTGCCCATCTGAAATTGGCTTTGAATGTGAGCACTATTGGTGGCCACATTGCTTAGTGGTTAAGAGCACTTCCTGTTCTTCCAGAACCCAAATTCAGGACCTAGCACCCACATCAGCCAGCTCAGCTCACTTCAACTGCAGGGATCGGATATCCCCTTCTGGTCTCCTTGGGCACCTGCCCACATGTGGCACATACGCACAATATAAAAAAAAATAGTAATAAAATCTTTAAAAAATAGAAGAGGGAGCCAGGCTGTGGTGATTTGCACCTTTAATCCCAGCACTCAGGAGGCAGAGACGGGCGGATCTACAGAGAGAGTTCAGGGCAGGTTCCAAAGCTATAGAGAAGCCCTGTCTCAGAAAACCAAAAAAAAAAAAGAGCCGGACAATTTGCGCCTTTAATCCCAGCACTTTGGAGTTCTCTGTGAGTTCGAGGCCAGCCTGGTCTACAAGAGCTAGTTCCAGGACAGGCATCAAAAAACTACAGAGAAACCCTGTCTCGAAAATAAAAAAAAAAAAAAAGAGGGTGTCAAGATGATTCAGCTGTCAACCTGACAATCAATTAGATCCCTGGAGAACTGGCTTCCTACTGATCTCCACTATGTTGCTGACATAGCGCACACACACAAAAATAAAAGAATTCGGAAGACATTGCTAGTAATCTCCAGTTTCAATGGGTCGATCAGTCAGACCTCATTCCTGTAGTTAAAAGCTGAGGATGCCTTAGGTAATATGTAGCCACACATACTATTTGGTACAGTAACCACAAGTGTTGATGCTGTGTGATTATTAACTTGATCTGTGTTTCATCGCTACAGGATGCAAAGGGGGCAGTAGTTCTCGGTAAGACAGGATTTGAAGGAAACAGGGCTTGACAGTGAGGGGTTGTTCTGTGCAGAGAAGCAGTACGTTGCTGGGTGTAGACAGTAGATGTGTTCAGGATAGCAGCCTGTTTTTGTCCAGCCCTGCCAGGTGACCTGACACCTCATCTCCTTTCGACTTAGGCAAGTCTTCTGGCTTGTGAAGGCCTAGCGGGTGTGAGTTTGGTTCCCACTGCAGCCAGCAAGAAGATGATGCTAAGCCAGATTGCCAGCAAGCAGGCCGAAAATGGCGAGCGGGCAGGTAGCCCTGATGTGCTGAGGTGCTCGAGTCAGGTACAGCACTTGAGTCCTTTGTGGTGCTTGGGGGTCGGGCAGCCTGAGCTCTCTGCCAGGAGGCACCAAGCTGTGGTTCCTGTCTGCTTTGTTTTGGTGCTTCTGTTTAGAAGAAGTGGGGATCTGGGCCCCAGGTGGGCAAGAATGAGTGTGGGTGTTTGGAACGCTTGTACCTACAAACTCCTAAACCAGGAAAGACGAAGAGGAAGTGGATTGTGGAGAGGAAGCAGGTGGTGTACTCTCCTTTATAAACTATTTGGCAAGAAACAGCATTTGGTTTCTCATCTTGTGTTCTGAGATGGACTGTAAATTTAGATTTGGTTTGTCTTCAAAGGGCCACCGAAAAGACACTGATAAATCCCGGAGCCGCAAAGACGATGACAGCTTGGCTGAGTCCTCTCATTCAAAAAAGACTGTTAAAAAGGCAGGTAATGGGGTCAACCCAGACTCATGTCGTTTGGTAATGGAGTCAGCTCCTTTCCTCATCACTGTGGCTCACATTTTCCCTACTGAGTTTGGGCCGTGATTTTACCCAAGGCCACGCTGACAGTTGCTGTCTCCCCTTGCTGACCATTGTGGTACAGGTGGGGAGTGTGCTCTTGGAGCAGGGCAGGCCAACCCTACCACTGCATGCTAGCTGTGGCTAGAAGCTGGTTCACCCAGCCCTTCTCCTTCCCTTCCTGACTCTTAGCTTAAGTAAGGGATATGACAGGAGACATCACCTTTCACAGTAGCAGACAGAGTCTTTGTCCAGCAGCTGGAACTGGACCTCTGGAGGGCAGACAGAAACCTCTATGACATGCCTGATTGTTGCCCCCAGGTGGTGGTAGTGGAACAAAATGGCTCTTTCCAAGTAAAGATCCCCAAAAATTTTATTTGTGAGCACTGCTTTGGAGCTTTTAGGAGCAGTTACCACCTCAAGAGGCACATCCTGATCCACACTGGTAAGTCTCTTGCCTGTACTCAAGCTTGCATTCAGATGGGGGACAGCCTGTAAGTCATGTTCCAGCTGGGTTTGTTTCCCAGGAGGGCATTAGATATGGAAGCTAATGATGGGGAGGGTTTGCATGGCTCCATGTTTGCTGTCACTGAGACCAGCAATCTTACGTTTATGAATGTATGGTCCCTATCATAAACTTTTCTTGGGTCTCACTTTTTTTTTTAACCTCTGGGCCAGGTGAGAAACCATTTGAGTGTGATGTATGTGATATGCGTTTCATCCAGAAGTACCATCTTGAACGCCACAAGCGTGTGCATAGTGGTGAGAAGCCTTACCAGTGTGAACGATGTCATCAGGTAAGGTTTGCCTGTCGTCCCTGGAATAGCAGCACACAGAAATTTTCCTTAAGGCCAGTCCCTTCCTGGCTTACCGAGAGGCTTCCACAGTACAGTTAGCATCTCAGAATAAGGCACATCTCAGGCCTTATGGGGCTAATCATAGAGAGTACTTGTTAGAATATCATAATATCATTTATTTTGGTTTGGTTTGGTTTGGGGTTTTTTTGTTTTCTTTTGTTTTACCTGAGACAGGGTCTCACGATATAGCTCTAGCTGTCCTGGAACTCACTGTGTAGACCAGGCTGGCCTCAAACTCATAGATCCGCCTGATAATACCATTTCTTGAATTCCTGATCTATGCCAGGTACTATGAGAACAAACTTGACGTAGAATTTGAGTGCTGGACGTGTTTTTATCTTGTTATCTCCTTAGGGTAGCTGTGTTGTCCTCATTTCACATAATGGAGAAACTGAAGTTCAGGGAAGTTAACTCTCCCCGTGCAGCAGGTGAGAGCAGGGCTGATATTTGGTCCAATCTCAGCACTGCAGTGCGGAGGAGCGACGTCACCTCTGCCCTGGGGGGTCCAGTGACAGGAGATGAGAGTGACAGTGACCAACATCTCCTGGATGCTCTGCTCAGTCTTACACTAAGGTCCACACTCCCAGTCTTCTGAATGCTAGGGTGAGAGCTGCACTGGTGGTGACGGCATGGAACCTGACCCATGTCCAAGAGCACCCTCTGCTGCCCATAGAAAGTGCACAGTGTCACAAAACCAAAACACTAGACTGCGACCCAGTGAGGGACACTGTAATCCCCGCACTCGGAGAAGCCAGACAAGAAGACCACAAGTTCTAGGCCTATCTCCAAGAAACATGTTTTCCACCCTGTGCTTGGGCGCGATGAGAAGCTGTGCTGTGCCAAGTCCGACAGGATAAGCGCTAAATATTTGACGAGTGGAGCAGCCATGCTGTGTTGTGCTTTTCTCCTGTTCCTTCAGGGCTGTTGGGTGATTTGCCCATTGTCACATGACTAAATGACAGAACCAGCGTTCCAGTCTGAGTCAGGCCCTCTCCCCAGCACTGGCTTCTTGTTGTTGACTTATGTCATTGTGTGTACATAGTACAGGACAGGTGTGGAGGTCAGAGACCTCCTGCTGTTATGTTGGTTCTAGAGATCAAACTCCGGTCATCAGACTTGGCAACAAGGGCCTTAACCTGCTGAGCCATCTCCTCATCCTCCTACCTCCCTTTTTTTTTTTTTTTAAGATAGGGTCTTAGGTAGTCCACAGTGGCTTCCAGCTTTCTCCAGCTTTCTATATAACCAAGGATGACCTTGTATGTCTGATCTTCCTGCCTTTGATCAAAGGCCTGCACCACCACGCTCAGTTTCCAAGGCACCAAGGATCAAATCCAGGGCTTTCTTTTCTTTCTTTTTTTTTTTTTTTAAACTTGGTTCTCTTTTTTACCTTGGAGTTTTCCACCTTGGTTTTTTTTTGTTTTTTTTTTAATTTACTATTTATTTATTTATTATGTGCACGATGTATACATGTATGCCTGCAGGCCAGAAGAGGGCACCAGATCTTATTATAGGTGGTTGTGAGCCACCATGTAGTTGCTGGGAATTGAACTCAGGACGTCCGGAAGAGCAGTCAGTGCTCTTAACCTTTGAGCCATCTCTCCAGCTCCAAATCCAGGGCTTTCTGTGTACCAGGCAAGCACTCCACCAGCCAAGCTGCATCCCTAGCCACTAGAACCAACATTTGGTTCTTTTTGTTGTTTGAGACAGGGTTTGTCTACATAGTCCTGACTGTCCTATAACTCACTATGTAGACCAGGCTAGCCTCGAACTCAACAGAGATCTACCTGCCTCTCTGTGTCCTGAGTTCTGAGATAAAAAGAATGTACCACCACCGTACCCAGCGACATCAGTGTCCTAATCACTGTGCTCTCCTGCTCTACAGCTACTGAGGGAGCAAGAACATAGCATATGCCTTCTCTGCAAGGAAGGGACCTCCTAACAGGAGACTGAATTCCTCTTGGAACTTAATCCTCTCTCTTCACAGTGTTTTTCTCGGACAGACCGACTACTCAGACACAAGCGGATGTGCCAAGGATGCCAGTCCAAGACGTCTGATGGGCAGTTTTCTCTATAGGCACGGGGGCCCACCGAAGAGCACACCCCTCTGCTCTGATGGCCCTACCACCACTCCCTCTGAACCTGTCCCCTTCCTAGAGGAGTGGCCCCAGGTGAGCAGATGAGACCATCGGAGGACAGCAGCTCCAGAGCCTCAGCTCTGTAAATAGTCTGAGACTGTGCGACTCTCGGGAGTTTCTGCAGCATTCCTGGGCAGGCGAGCTGGTCCCTGGACCCTTACCTGAGGTCGTAGTGGGGACTGAAAGGTACAGGACCAAGACTGAAATGTTCCCACAATCTTGGACTGGAACTGGCAGCTGAAGTGAAAAGGACTGAGGGGGGGATTTGTTTGTTCTGCTCTTGTTTTTGTTTATCCAAAAGCAATTACAGCAGGTAAACAGGGGACACAGGTAATCTGGAGATGCAAAGTAAGGACTGTGGCTGGCTCAGCCGTTTTTTGTTACCATAGACCTTTGGTGTTCCACAGCCCTGCATCTTACTTCCTGTTTGAAAGAAAATAGGACCAGGACTGGCAGCTAAGCTTACTTGGACTTGTTATACACTGTGTGGACAGAAGGAGAGGCTGGAAGAGCAGATGTGAGCTGACAAGAAGAGTGGGCATCCCTTTTTCTCTCCTCATAAGAGCAGTGTTGTGCAACGCCAGTGCCTGATGGGGTCAGCTCAAGTGCCTTTTGGAGGAAACTTGGGTGGGGTGGCCCATGCAGCCCTTTCGTCTGGGCAGTTGGTCTTGGTTATGGCTGTGGCTACCTCACTGTCCTGGACTCCAGAAACCAGGCAGCAGTTGAGCAGAGTTGTGGGTGTCAAAGTGGACTGTCCCCTTGTGCCGTCCTAGAACAGCTAAGGATAGTGCGGTTTGCCAACAACTGTTAGAGACGCCTGTGGTGGCCCTGGTGTGGCCTGTGATAGAGCCCCTTGCTGCCCAAGTCCTGTGGCGAGTCAAGTAGTGGAGGCGGAAGTCTGCTCTTCAGTCCCAAAGAACACGAACTTGGCTTCCTCCCTGATAGGCATCCCTATCCAACAAGGTAGAGGATGCTGCAGAGGAAGGACCCTAATGTCTGTTTTATTCTTGACCTTATTCTGTTCTGAACCCCATCTTGTCTACCCCTGAGAAAGTGATGAGGTGTGTGTCTTTGTCTGATTTGTGGGTGCTTGGTGTATTTGCTTGGAAGGGATGAAAATTATAGAGCCAAATTTATTCGGCCACCAACTTAGAGGATAGAAAGCATAGAGCAGCCTCCCCGCCCAGACCTGAAGGGTGCCTGCCTCCCAGAGGTTGCTGAGAACAAGGGAACCGAGGGGGTTTGTTCCAGAAGGATTTTTTTGGGTTTTTGTCGTTGTTGTTTTTAGATTGATTGAACAGTACTGCTTAGAGTGTTTCTAAGCCAGGGCTTATGGATATGTATTTTCTAAAGTGAAATAACTCCCTTCCTGCTAAAGAAAGGATCCTTAGGGAGGTTGTGGAATTCCATTGAGCACTGCCCCACGCCAGGGGACCTACTTCAGGGGCAATCGTGGAGATTGACCTGAGCTATGGGTAGGAGTCAGAGATGGCAGCCCAGCCTCCAAGAAGTTCTTGCCTAGCAAAGAGGGCCAGGCAGCAACATACTTTTGACTATGGCCTCTCTCTTCCAGTGTGTTGAGGGACGGTACATCATACCTCTTGGGTTGAAATACTTCAGGGAAAAAGAAGGGGAAATGTTTCGACCTTCAACTTAACTCTGACGCACCTGAGAGCCTTGGGTGAGGTCAGAAGTGTTCCCTGCCATGTGCTCTAGCGTCGCGCTGTCCCTACTGTTGGACATGCTCTAGAACCTGTGGCCCCTGGGCATGTTTGCGCACGGAAGGCAGACCATTTCGCATCAGAGGGTTCTGCTGGGCTGAGATTTTTCTGTCATTCAACTCTGGGAAAGGATACACTGAGAAAGAAATCCTCCCAAAAATGTTTCTGGAAATGGGATCCTTCCCTACTACTAGAAGATGATCTGTGGGGAGGGGTAGAAGACTGACCCAGGCTTCTCCGTGTATGGATGTATGCACTGGGCCAGAGCAGGCCCTGCAGACCATGACTTCTGCCTGAGTAGAAGCTGTGAGGGAGAGAACTTCAGGATGTGTGTACAGATGGCCCAGCCAGCACCACACTGCCAAGGCCTGGGTGTGAGAAGCCCAGAGGCTGGCAGTGGTGGAGGACAGGCTGTGGGGTGAAGAGTAATAGGACACCCAAGGGCCCAGGAACCGCAGCGCCGCAGAGGCTCCCGGGGTGTTGTGTCAGCACTGGACAGATGTCTCAGGTGTGTGTGGAAAGGGGAATGACGAGCGGGCAGGGGCCCAGAGATCCAGATGTGAATGTGGGGTTGGGTGGGGAGAGTGACACCAGTCCCTGGGTGGCTCCTGTCCTTTCCATCCATCACTCAGCTACTGATTGTGCTCCATGGCTTGACATGGAGGGTTAGATGGGTGGAATCCCACCACAGCTCAGCCCTCTCCCCGGGTTCCTTCTGCCCCTGCTGTGGCCCTGGGCTTTTATCTTCAATTCCCCTCCTACCATGCTCCACTTTTTTTTTAAATATACTTATTTTGCTATGGGGGAGGGGACTATCAAATGAACAAGATCACTTTTAAATGGTAGTTTTTATAAGATGTTATAAACTTGTATCTTTTTACCATTAAAGTGCAGTGTATGTTCCTTCGTGATATATTTAGGATATTTAAATAAAAAGAATGGCGCTTTTCTACACTCCATCTCCTCGAGAAGACTCGGGGCACTTTCTCACCAAAGCCCTGACAGTTTCCTTCCCTGGTAGGTCCACCCTACAGCTTGCAACGGAACAAACTATCCTGTTAAAACAATGGTTTTTTTTTTTTTTCCATAGAGAAGCAACAAGTAGAGGCAAAAACGTATCATTTTTTGCTGAGAAAAATGCTCTCAACAGCCTGACAAGATGGGGTCTGACTCCTATCTATGTAAGGAGAAGTTGGTGGGTATCTCCAATATCAGCATCCCCTGAGATTCCACTGGCCCAGGTGTTCCCAGGTCACACAACAGAAGCACACACTTGTCCTCTAGTAACCTGAGACCTAGGCTAAGCAGTTTGCTTTTCTTGTCTTGAGGTGAAGCAAAGTGGAGGCTGTAGTCTGAGGCAAGACTTTATTGTGGGCAAACCCTTCATGATGTGGAGGGATTGGTTGCAGCAGTGGGAAGCAGCCCTCTGAAGGTCACTGGAAAAACTGATGACCCTGCTTTGCTGTCTCCCACTGTCTGCCAAGACAAGAGTCCTAAATGAGTCTGCTGCCTGGGTCAGAGAGAGGGACCAGAACCATTTGTCTCTTGGAAGCGGGGGTTGATAGTGGTTGTGACGGCACTTTTGTAGAGAGGATTGCTGTCCTGTCGGAAAACATTGCAAACTGTAAAGAAAATATCAGGCTCTCCCCATTGCCTAGTCCTGTGAGGCCAACCTGGAACTTAAGTCAGATCCTAGAAGGCCTAGTTATGCTGCGGGAGGGACTTTAATGGGGGAGACCGTGGCAATAGGACCTGGCCTCACCTGCTTCCAGTTGAGCTGCTGTCTCTCCTTCTCAAAGCGGCTGTACTCACGGCGATCATAGATTTCCACAGAGAGTCGATAAGCCAGGACTAACCCTAGTCCCACTGCCACAATGCCACCTATGCAGCCCAGTATGATGGCCCGGGTGTGATCTGCTCCTTCTGGTGGGGTCAAGGTATAAGAGCTGACCCATAGTTACCCAAAGGGTGTCCAGTCTCCCCAACCCTGTCACTGTACATAGGACCCACCAGAGCCCAGGGTCCCCTTTCCTGGGGCCTTGGCTGTAGGTTTGCAGCTCTGCTTTAAACCCAATGCCCTTACCTTCATGCACATCCCCAGGTCTGAGGTTCCGCCTACTTACTCTCTTGGGGTCTCACTCTCAGTATGACTCCTCCAGCCACATTCTCCACCAGGAAGAAGAACAGCTGGTTGTCTAGTGTCCTTTCTTTGCACCAGCCATCATCCAAATTAGGAGCCAAGGCCACTGTCACATTCACACCAGCACAGGCCATACTGCAGTTGGCTGCCAGGGGACCAGAGCCAAAGGCCCCACACTCTGCACAATCCCTGTCCAGTGAATGCCAATGAGTTCCCATCTGGGCAGCTGTTACCTCCTAGCCCTCCACCCACACCCTCAAGAAGAACACACTGTGCCCCAGCTCCCAAGATAAAGACCTAAGGCCTCACCTGTACCGCTCACATGGTGACTTGCAGCCTAGGCACTGGTCACACAGAGCCCCGTAGTAGCCATCCTGGCACTGGCAACGGTTGCACCTGCAGTGCCCATGCCCGCTGCAGAGCCCTCCTTTGGGACTGACACAGCTGTCCACGTTCTCACTGCACTCACATGCTCTGCCCGTGCGGTTGGCGTGACAGTGACACACTCCACACTGGCAGTGTCCAAAGCCTGAGGACGAGTCATACACAAGGTGATCACCACTCACACAGTTGGCCCAACATCTCGACCGCCGGGCACATCCTGTAGACTCCAAGTACCTCCACAGAGGATGCCCTCATGTCGCTCACAGCTGGCATCATCACACTCGCACAGACGCCCAGAGCTCTGCCCACTGCAGCTGCAGCGTCCACACTGGCACCGTCCCTTCCCGCTGCATAGGGGCCCTGTCCCATTGGGGGCCCGGCAACCAGATTCCAGATCTGGGGACGACAGTTCAGCCTCAGAGCATTCACAGAGCTGACCAAGGCGGCCAGGGGCACAGCTGGGAAAGGAAGGCAGAGAGAGAGATGGGTCAGAGTTTGACCAGCTCTGGGCCAGTGGTTCTCAACTTGTGGGCCGCGAACTTTAAGGCTCAAGCCTTTCACAAGGGTTACTTTAGACCATGGGAAAATACAGATATTTATGATTCATAACAGTGGCAAAATTACAGTTGTGAAATAGCAACAAAAGTAATTTATGGTTGGGGTCACCATAGTATGAGGAACTATTAATCGTCACAGCATGCTGGACAGTGGTGGCACATGCCTTTAATCCCAGCACTTGGGAGGCAGAGACAGGCTGATCTCTATGAGTTCGAGGCCAGCCTGGTCTACAGAGGGAGTTCCAGGACAGACTCCAAAGGTACCTGTCTTGGGTCACAGCATTAGGAAGGTTGAGAACCACTGCTCTGGGCCTGTGTTCTCAAGGGAGACGGAGACAGAGCAGCTGGAACAAGACTAGGTTAGAGTAGCGAACCAAGGGTGGAGGGAGGCAAGAGTGGAAGGATTCTGGTCAAGGTGAAAACCTTGGCATATGTAGGAAGTTTCTTCAAGGCATGATGCTCAGGTGGAGTCCTGGGGTGTCTGGTACATTCCAAGAGGCAGAAAGCAAAGGAGGGAGACTACAAGGAGAGAGTCGTGGGAGCTGAGAGCACAGGAAGCCACCCCTCACCTGCATATCCCGCACTGCAGGTCTCCCTGGCCATCACTGCAGTAGGGAGCGTGGGGCTGGACGTCACTACAGTTACAGTCACACAGTGTGTGTAGCTCCACAGTTAACTCCTCTGAGAAGCCGAGGGCCCAGAGCCGTAAGAGGTGGGGCTCTGGGAGACACTGAGTGACTTGAAGAGTGACCCAGAAGTCTACCTGAAGATAGGACCAGACAAAGCTATGCACCCTCTTGTGTGCATACCCCTCCCAAGCTAAACACACCCTCGTGTACACACACACCTGCTAAGCCCGCTGATCATGCAGTGAGTTAAAGATGAGTGGAAGGCTATCCCCTCTCCATGGCTGCCCCATAAATTGCCCTACCTGTTTCCCACGTTTATGTAGCGCCCCCTGCTGACTGACTCTTACCGTCTGGTTGACTCGGATGTTACTGCACTGTCCCCGGTTCCCAGTCTCACCCTCCCTGTTTTCAGAACCCCTGCAGTGAGATTCAAAAGAAATGTTGACTCCAGGAGGGAGAGGAGAGTGTTCAAGAGTCACGGTGGATGACAGGCTCTGTGGAAAGGAAGGGGGAGGAGGTCATGTGATGGCAGCCCCCCCCCATACCCCACTTTCTACCCTCTTATTCGCTCAGAGTTCTGCTTTTATCTGGCTTTCTTGCACCCTGAGGCTCCTCCCATCCTCCCAGTTAGAAGTCATTTCTGAAAGAAGGACCATCCTGGAATACCCAGGAGCCAGAGGCCTCAGCTAGAGCAGAGCAGCCTGTGCAATGACCCGAGCCAGGACACACAGCCTGTGTGTAAGGTCTAACAGGCAGACTTTTCCCAGCATGTTTACTCTGGGATGGCCAGCACTGTTTCAAGATTTTTCACCATGGTTAAGAGATTTGTCTTTGGGGACTGGAGAGATGGCTCAGCGGTCAAGAGCACTGGTTATTTTTCCAAAGGATCCTGGTTCAATCCCTAGCACCTACATGGTGGCTCACAACTGTCTGTAACTCACAACTGTCTGTGCAAGGAATCCCACATACAGGCATACATGTAGGTAAAATACCAAATATACAAAAAAATGTCTTTGATAGGGAGTGGTTTGAATTGAATCTAGTAGGCTAAGCAAGCAGCCACTAGGTTATACAGCTCCAATCATTGCACCAAGATTGAGGACATCCTTGTTGTTATTGAGAAAGAGTCTTCTGTAGCCTAAACTGACCTTGAAAATCCCTGATCCTTCTGCCACCCAGGTGTGCAATTACAGGCACATGACACCACATTCAGATAATAAGGCCCTTGCTACAGTCAGGCATGATGTTACACATCTTTAATCCCAGCACTGGGGAAGCCAAGGCTGGTGGATTTGTCTGAGATCAAGGCCAGTCTGGCTTACACAGGAGACCCAGGATAGCCAGGACACCCAGAGAGACCCTGTATTTAAAAAAAAAAAAAAAAAGGCTGGAGAGAGATGGCTCAGAGGTTAAGAGCACTGGCTTCTCTTCCAGAGGTCCTGAGTTCAATTCCCAGCAACCACATGGTGGCTCACAACCATCTGTAATGAGGTCTGGTGCCAGCATGCATGCAGCTAGAATACTATATATATAATAAAACACTGCATACATAATAAATAAATAAGTCTTTTTAAAAATAGGAAAAGGTCTAGAGAGTCTAGAGAAGAAATGAGATTTAAGCCAAGAAACATTCAAGATCCATGAAATTCTGTTTCTGAATTATTACAAATTTAGGCAAGCACAGGGCAATCTTTAGCTTTAGTCCTCCCTGGATCTACTTCCACAATACAATAGGGACAGAGTTATGGCTCAGGAAGGGGTGTAGCTCGGGGACAGAGTGTGTGCCTGGCACAAGGAAGGCTTTAAGACTCAATCCTTAATATGGCAAAAATTTAAATATATTTATGAATGTGAGTTTATGAACTGCTAAAGGCAGCCATGTGCAAACCATAAGTAGGAGCTGTGACTGGGTAGAACTCAAAGTGACATGCCACCTGAGAACCCCTCCCTCGCCCCGCCCTGCCACTCTCCGCTCACATCATAAGCATCCATGATGAGCTGCACCACGTTGCTGGAGTCCTCGCTCAGCTCTCCAACAGCAGACTTGGGGATCAGCTGACTCAGCTCCTGCAAGGAAGGGGGCGGGGCGGGAGAGTGGATGAAGCTCTAGGAGAGCCAGGTTCCGGGGTCTGGAGAGAGTTGTGTGGGAAGGCTTGGGGTGGGGGTGGGGGCGGAATGGGCTGGGAGGTCTTTACCAGGAGCCCTCACCTGGTAAACAGGTAGTGTTGTGCCGGTAACGGCAAATATCGGCTGGATGTTCGCTGCAGTGAGGGCCTGGGCTACTTGCCCCACAGAGGGGTAGTCCTGAGGTAGGGAAGGGGACCGTGACTATAGCTCAAGTCTCCCTTTGGTGTGCCACTCTTTCAGACAAAACAAAACAAACAACAAAAAGACAGGACCCAGTTCTACCAGTGGAGGAGCCCTGAGGGATGGATGGGCAGACCACGGAGGTAGGCGCAAATGACACGGGTTTCTTGTCGGGGCAGCTAGGGATACTCTCCAGTAAGGAGAGAAGAGATGCTGCCCAGATGAGGAGGAGGGCTCGGGCAAGGGAGGACTCACAAACTCTGCACTGTGCACGTAGACACCATTGCTGTCCAGATGGCAGCGCCCATCACTGGGCATGAAAATGCCACCCAGTTTCCCATCCCCAGCTGTGTGGAATGTATCGTCTGACGTGAACACCAGAAGTCGGGACACATTTCTCCAGCCAATCTGCTCCTAAGGGGGAAGGAGGCAACCTGGATACCTGGGCATGGTACTTGTTTGTCCTTCTCCCTTCTCTGATTCCCTGCTCCAAGCTCTCAGAACCCCCTCCCCAAACAAGTCTGCAGTTAGTGGAGGCCCTCTTGTGAATTAGGAAAAGTGCCTCTTCCTCAAGGTAAGTAAACTACCCAGATGACTGCTGAGGTTGCTGTGCAGACATCTGTGAGTGTCCCCTCACAGTCCCAGGCCCAGACAGCTCCTGCCTCTCAGATCCCCACCCCGTTTCCTCACCTGGCAGAGGGCAGCCTGCAAAATGGCATCAAAGCCGCCTTCAGGTGAGTCCAGGTTGCCAGAGACATTCTGGCGCCCCACCTCTCTCTCAAAGGCTTGAGCGTCCCCAGTGAGGGACAGCACATGGTGAAAGCTGAAGGGTGGCTGACAGCGCTCCAGCCGGTTGGGGCACGGGTGGTGAAGCTTGGAGGGCACTGTGCTGACAAAAGGCAGCACTGTTTTGTCCACAAAGGAGCCAAAACCTGGGAGTAAGAAGCCAAAGGTCACAAGGCACCGGCAGTAGTGAAGATCCTGCTAAATACTCAGACAGGAGGACACACCTAAAAGGCAGGGACCCAGAACCTGGCAAAGGCAAAACTGTGGCACCATCAGCTCAAGGAGGCGCAGATGGAGGAGATGAAGAGGAGGACCCAACAGGGGCAAACCAGTTCCTGGAGGCTAAGGTCAAGGGTGTAGAGCAAGAGGTGGCAACACAGGGTGAGCTTTTGAGCAAAGGGAATAAAAAAAACAATCATTACAGACTGCGAAATGGGAACACTGCATCTAGGTTGTCTAAAAGACACTGGGTTGAGACAGTAGCGTCAGGACAATGTCCTGTCCAGGTTGGCTGCTGTCTGAACGTCTCTTAGATTCTAAACCTCAGCTAGCCCTCCGTACAGCAAGGGGTCCTCCTACTGTTCAGTCCGAAATTCCCTCAAGCTTAAACCTCAATGAGTGTCTCTTGGGAGAAATGTCAAGATCCAAAAGCCTGATCAAGTTAAACTCTGTGACAGTATAAGGCGATGGCGGAAGCTAAAGGCAGCGACCAGGGCTGGTAGGGTAGTGAATGCACGCTCACCTATGCGCACAGAATGGGTGACCTCCTGCAACCTGACCAGCAGGGCGTGCCCGAGCTGGCGCACACGTTCCAAGTCGTCCTTCATTGAGTAGCTCAGATCCATAAGGTAGTACAGGTCCACCGGATATCCCGCAGCTCGCAGGAAGCGGACCCGGAGTTTCTGTGGCTCCCCTGATAGAGAAAGGAGAGGCTTGACTCAGGAGCCCGGTGCATTCGAGGCCCAGCCCAGACTTCCATCACCATGCGCCATCCAAGACCCACCTGGTCGCAGCGTGACTCGGATCCGCTGGGGTGCCAGCTGGGTGGCCCCCTCGCCGCGGTCTCCCTGGCTGAGCGGCTTGTCCTCCAGCACCTCCTGGTGGCCGTGCGGCTCCTCCAGCTCCTGCACGGGGCACCCGCGGGCCAGCAACTCCTCTCGCTGCGCGCAACGCCGTGACTCTGCCTCTCCGGAGGCGGTAAAGTTCTGAGCCACAGAAGGAGGTGCATTGGAACCCCAGCACCCACAGCCCCTCAGTTCGACTACTAACACCACCCTGAAAACACTGCCCCTTGCAATCACCTGTCCACTCTGTTCTATTCTCAGCCAGCTTCCCTGAGCCCTGATTTATTCTCACCACACACTTACCTCTACAGCCACTGTGGAACACAGTTCTTTCTTCTTCCCCCAGCTCCCCACTTCCTGTAGCAGCTTCCTCCCCCATGTCTATCCCCCTCCCAGTCTCTCCCCTCAACTCCCCTTTCCCACAGGCGCCCATCTATCTCCTCTCCTTTGAACCACTGACTTCCTGTTGAGATCTCAGAGACCTCAAGGCTACAGAAACAGGACTTGGTAGTTCAAGTTCCCCAAAATCAGATGGGAAGGGTGTCAGTCACACCCAGTTTCTGCAGGATAGAAATAGAAAAAGGCATGCACGCGAACACACACACACACACACACACACACACACACACACACACGATGTCTGGTACCCTGCACTGACTGGGAAGCCACAGGGGAAGGAAATGGTTAGGGTGGCTTCTCAGTGGGCATGGGTGCCAGTCCCTAGTCTCAGGATTGGAGGAGGCAGACACAGACCAGCCGCTGTCCTAAGAGCCTCATCTCTCAAGCCACTGCCTAGGACCTCTGCTTCCCTGCCTCGATAGCGTCTATGTCTCCCAGCTTCACTATCACTAGTTTCTTAGGCTCTGTCCGCTGTAAACATGGCTACCTATTGAGTAGGCCCTACCTCTCACCAAAGCCTGCACTGATCTAACCCCCATCTTCCTGTGAGAGACACTGTTGCTCCTGAGCCTCTAAAGCTCCTCTTTAAGGCATCAGCAAAGAGCAGCTTTGTTTGACCAGCAAGAAATACACACTTCCCAGCATCCTTTGCTCCCACCGACTTCCTCCCACCTTAAGCCCACAGGTTTTCGGAAACCTTGACTTACTTCATTCTTCAGGCCAGGTTGCAGCTGGAACATAGCAATCTGCACAATACACGCCCTGAGACGGACTCAGAAGCCCCATCATGCACTTGTTGCTGTGAACTGGATTCTCTCTCCAGATTTCCATGTTTATTTATTTACTTCCTGAGACAGAGTCTTACTGTGTAGCCTTGACTGAACTAGAACTCTCCTAGACCAGGCTGGTTTTGAACTCGCAAATATCCACCTACTTCTGTTTTTGCAAGTGCTGAAATTAAAGGCATGCATCGCTATCTCAAACCTGTGTTTAGTTCTTTTTTGTTTTGTTTTGTTTTTTTAATGCCCCAGTCTCTCAAATCACAAGAAATATGTTTCTCTTATTTAGGACATTTAGTTAGGGCTGGAGTTAGGCTCAGCAGTTAAGAGTTGTTCTTCCAGAGGTCCTAAGTTCAGTTCCTAGCAATCACATGATGGCTCACAACCATCCATAATGAGATCTGGTGCCCTCTTCTGGTCTGCAGGCAGGATACTGTACAATAATAATAATAATTATTATTTTTAAAGGCATTCAGTCAATGACATTTTGTCGCAGAACACTTAGCTGGCCAATACATACATAAGCATGAATTCTCACAGGGCGTTCTCCTCTGAGCTCATGGGTCAGAGGTTCTTTCATATATGTACAGAAGCTGACATACACATGAGTCACATCCACACTGGAGTACACTGTGCCCAAATCCAATCACCCGTGAGACTGCAGAGTATATCCAGAAAGTTCCACCACTGTGCCACACAACACACACGTATTACAGGCTGCACACACACACACACATGGTTCAAGAGTCATGAACACCTCCTTACCAACTGCTTGCACCATGCACAGCTGGGATGTGAGAGGATACACTTCTGGCAGGAAGGAGCTGGCTGGCAGGATCCCGGCTGAGACAGGCCAGCGTGCTCCCATTCTGCGGCCCCCTTTGCAGAGGTGATCTTGATCTCTGACTCGCTCTCACCTCCACACAGAACCAGCAGGAAAATGAGCGCAGCGGGTGAATCCACCATGGTCTGTATAGGAAGACAGACACATGCGTGAGTTCTCAGGGAGGACTTGGCTTGTGGTTGCCCTGTTGGACTTCACCTCAGCTCCACATCTCTCCTCAGAGTTTCACATCCCCCTATGGATTCAGCAGCTTTTTCAAAATGGTGGGGTGACAGTGCCAAAGCAGGGAAGGGGTCTCAGACCTGTGCTCCTCTGTTAGACTTGAGGTGCCCAGGGTGGACAGAGCGACAGAGACAACTCAGTGGTTCAGGGCACTGGGTACTCCTCAGGAGGATGCCCTCCCATCCTGGGTTCTATTCCCAGGCCCACATGGCATGCAGCTCACAACTTTCTGTACCTCCCGTTCCAGGGGATCCGACACACTCTTTGGCCTCCAAAAGCACCGGGCACACATGTGGTGCACAGGCATACATACAGTAAGAACACCTAGAATCATAAAATGAAACTAAATAAAATCTTTTTAAAAATGGGGGTGAGGACAGAATACACAATTTTTCTAGAGAGCTCAAGCGCTGTTTCCATCCTACTTCAGGCGGATTTCAGCAACCTGTAACTCCATTTTCAGGGCGTCGGACACCTCTGGCCTCCATAAGCACCTGCACTCGTGTGCGCACACCCACACACACAGACACATACATACACATTTTTTTTTTAAAAAGCCAGAAGTAGTAACACTTGGGAGGCAGAGGCAGAGAGATCTCTGTGAGTTTGATGCCAGCCTGATCTTTGGAAGGAAGGAAGGAAGGAAGGAAGGAAGGAAGGAAGGAAGGAAAGAAAAAAGGAAGGAGGAAGGGAGGGAGGGAGGGAAGGAGGGAGGGAGGGAAGGAGGGAAGAAGGAGGGCGAGGGCCTCTGGAAGTCAGGAGCTCTTCACCAATGTGCTGTGCTGCAGCGAAGCAAACAGGAATCACCAGACTCGATTCCATTCAGATCCCTCAGTGTCCGCCTCTATAAAGTGGAAGAGCTGAGGAAATACTCTGACGGCCTTGAGGTCTGAATAAGCAAATGGAGAGTGGAAATAAGGGGAAAGGGGAGCAGAATGAGGGAGTGTGGTCAGGGGAGGGTGGTCTCACACAGTGGACACAGTAGCCAGAGGAAGGGGGGTAGAAGAAAGTCTCGTTGATGTTGGAATTTCTATTTTATTTTATTATTATATCTGTGCACTGTGTGTGTCCCTGGTGCCCTTGGAGGGCCGAAGAGAGCATCAGATCGCCTTGAACTGAACTTATAGATAGTGGGGAGCTGCCATGGGAACCAAAGTCCTTGAGAAGAGCAAGTGCTTTTGACCAATGAGCCAGCTCTCCAGCCTGATATTTTTAGTTTAGTTTTGTTTTGTGTTTTTGTTGTTGTTGTTTTTGTTTTGGGGGACAGGGTTTCTCTGTGAAACAGTCCTGGCTGTACTGGAACTTACATTGTAGACCAGGCTGGCCTTGATCTCAACAGAGACCCTCCCGCCTCTGCCTCCCGAGTGCTGGGTTTAAAGGCATGTGCCACCACCGCCCAGCCTTGTTTTGTGTTTTACACTTATTTGTTTAGCAGGTAGTGGGAAGCATGCCCACGGCACAGCCTGTGGCAGAGACCGGAGGACTGTGAGGGTCAAGTGATGGTCAGGCTCCACTGCAGGCATCTTTACTTACTATGCTAGCTCTCCAGTCATCTTTCTACTGTGGCTTTGGCTTTGGTGTTCTGGAGACAGGACCTGGCTGACCTGAGCCTCACTGGATAGCTCAGGATGGGCTTGAATGCAAGACAACTCTGCTTTTCCCTCTCAGGTGCTAGGATTACAGGTGTGAGTTGCCATACCCAGTAAAATGTTCTGTGACTGGAAGTGTAGTTCAGTGGTAGAAAGTGTGTCTATGGGTGACATCCTAGGTTACACTAATTACTTAGTTAGTTAGTTAGTTTTAGAAATTGAACAGGCCTGCTGGGTGGTGTTGGCAATCCCAGCAGTAGGGAGGCAGTGGCAGGCGGATCTCTGTTGAGATTGAAGTCAGCCTGGTCTACAGAGTGAGCGCCAGGACAGTCAGAGTGACACAGAGAAAGCCTGTCTTGAAAACAATTTCTTTTCTTTCTTCCTTTCTTTCTTTCTTTCTTTCTTTTTTTAGATTTATTTATATATTATACAGTATTCTGTCTGCATGTATGCCTGCAGGCTAGAAGAGGGCACCAGATCTCATTACAGATGGCTGTGAACCACCATGTGGTTGCTGGAAATTGAACTCAGGACCTTTGGAAGAACAATCAGTGCTCTCAACCCCCGAGTCATCTCTCCAGCCCCAACTATTTTTTTCTAATTAAAAAAAAATAAATATTGAGGTCAGGTGGTGGTGGCACACACTTTTAATCCCAGAACTTGGGAAGTAGAGCCATGAGGATCTCTGTGAGTTCGAGGCCAGGTGGCCTATGGAGCAAGTTCCAGTACATGCTCCAAAGCTACATAGAGAAACCCTGCTTCAAAAAAACCAAAAAATAAGTAAAAATTGATCAGGCAATCTATTACTGTGATTCAAAAATAAAAATGTTAGATTTGGCAGTGTGTGCCTGACATCCCAGCATTGCATGCAGAGGCAGGAGAACAGGGGTCCAGGCCAGCCTAGACTACATGAGACCCTATCTCAAAAAGTTTATCTGGTCTACAGAGCAATCTTCAGAATAGTCAGGGCTACACAGAGAAACTCTGTCCTGCAAAAACGAAATAAATAAACAAAGCCACATTAATCAAAGTGATGCAGTAGTGACATAAAACTAGGAATATTAATTAATGGACTAGAGCTGAGGCCGCAGGTCCAGGTGTGCTGGCACTCAGGAGGCGAGGCAGGTGGATCTCCAGGAGCTCAAGGTCATCCTGGTTTATATGAGAAGTTTCCAGGTCAGTGGAGGCTTCTTAGAGAGCCTGCCTTTAAGGAAGAGAGGATGAGAAGGAGAACGACAAAAGGAAGGGGGGAAGGAATGAAGGAAAGAAGCAAGCCCATCCATTATGGCAAACTGCGTCAAACCATTTAACAGGAGAACCAGTGCCGGGATGGCTAGATCGCCACACGCCGAAAGAATGGAGACCTCCATCGTGTACAAAGATAACCGAAAACAGATTTTTTTAATGTTTATTTTATGTGTATGGATGTTTTGCCTGCACGTGTACCTGTGCACCATGTGTGTGCCTGGTGCTTGCAGAAGTTAGAAAAGAACATCAAATCCCCTTGAACCAGAGTTACAGATGGTTGCAATATGCCATGTGGGTGTTGGAAAATCGAACCCAGGTTCCCTGAAAGCTGTTAATCACTGAACCGTTTCTCTGGCCCCAAATAAGGCTTTCTGGTTTCTTTTTGGGTTTTTTGCTTTTTTTTTTTTAAAGACAGCGTTTCTCTGTGTAGCCCAGGCTGTCCTGGAGCTCATTCTGTAGACCAGGCTGGCCTCAAACTCAGAGATCCACCTGCCTCTGCCTCCCAAGTGCTGGGATTAAAGACATGTGCCACCACCACTCCGCCTGTCTCAAAATTCTTAATTTAATTTAAAATAAAGAATTTCCATATCAATTTGCATTGTATGGGTAAACTAAGTGGCAGTTGATCAGTCCTGCAGTGATGGGCATCACATTCAATGATTTCTGGTCCAAGGGATGTGGCTCAAAGCTCAGCTTTGCCTAGCATATTCAATCTCTCATTGCAATTCTCAATTCCACATAAAATCTTAATAGCTTCTTTTTATCTTTATTTCAATTTTTATTGGATTTATTCTTTTTATTTTATGTGTATTTTCCTACATATATATCTTTGCACTACATGTATGCTTATGCCCTGGGAAGGCAGAAGAGGGCATCAGTTCCCTGGAAACCGGACTCATAGATGATTGTTAACCAGTATGTGGATGCTGGGAATCAAATCCGGGTCTTCTGAAAGTGCTCTTAACCAGTGAACCGTCCGTCTCTCCAATCTCAGAAACTTCTAATTGCCTAGTATGGCAACACATGAAAACCACCGCACTCATGTTACTTAAGTACCGATGGCTCTCTCGGAGCCCTCTAGAAGGTATATAGTATCACCAGGCAGCCATCATTTATTTGTAACATTGTTAGGTGTTGACAGCATAAATTCCCTCGGGATTGTGCTATGTGTTCCCATGGTTACCTGCATCTGCAAGAGCCTGGCAGAAAGCATCCACATTCTCAGCCAGGGTTAAGACACAGGTACCAACATTCTAAGGGGATCTGGGGAAGGGTGGGGTACTGAGCCGTTGAACACCCCATCCTGTGCACAACCCCATGTGACCTCAGGTAGGTGTAGTACATTACAGAGCTTCTGCTCTCAGGGAGAGGCTGACCCCAGGTTCAGCCTCAGCGAAACCTCAGACTTGCATGCTTTCTGTGCTGTGGTCAGAGAGGCTTGAGACTCAGCAGCACCAAGCTTAGTTTGACTCATCTCATAGATGGGGTTCGGCTTCTACCCCCTGTTCCCAAGAGAGAACTCAAGTCCACTCATCTCTCCTAAAGGGGGCTCTGAACTCATTCATGGCCTCCCCTAACCTTCTCAATTGTCCCAGTCTTCCTTCCTTGGTGATCCCTGTACCTTGCCACCTGCGTCTATCTCTCCCCTTGCTATTGCTATTATTGTTATTACTATTATTATTATTATTGATTTTTCAAGATAGGGTTTTTCTGTGTAACAGTCCTAGATATCCTGGAACCCACTCTGTAGACCAGGCTGTCCTCAAACTCAGAGATCCACCTGCCTCTGCTTCCCGAGTGCTGGGATTAAAGGCGTGAGCCATCACCGGCCGGCTTATTATTATTCTTTATACCACTTTGCTGTTTTCTCTGCTTCTCAGTTCTTTTTCTCTTTATTCCTAATCAGAGATGGGAAGAACTTTCTACCTCAGCACCCTCCTTGCAAAGAGAGACTGAAGTCCCCAGCAATGAGCCAAGGATACCCACAGCACAGGAGGGGATCCATGGATTAAGGCATCTCAAGCCTCCTGGATGAAAAAGAATTTTTTTTTTTGAGACAAAGTTTTTCTATATAGTTAGTCCTTGATGTCCTGGAACTTGCTCTGTAGACCAGCTGGCTTTGAACTAATAGAGATCTGCCTGTCTCTGCCTCTGAGTGCTAGGATTAAAGGCGTGAGTCACCATGCTCAGGCCTGACCAAATAATTCTCATTCCATCCCTGGACTCAGCCTGTCATTCGTTACATCCCATAATGACTCTCGATCATAGGTATGCTTTGCCCGTTAGGATTCCTTATGAATGAATCTAGGTAAAGAAGTTTTTAGGTTGCAAGGGATCAAGTTCACTCAAGTTTCCCAGTGAACTATGAAGCCAGGACCTCCCTCGAGCTAGGCCAGTCAGTGAACTACGGCCCCAATCCATAACTAAGTTGTGATTGTACCTATGCTGTGACAGCACTAAGTCTTGGTGAGACAAGCTTCCGCAGCCCTGGAATGCGGAGTCTGCAGCCAAGGTGCCAAGTGGGAAGCATCCTGGGCTCTGGAAAAAGCATCAAGCTGCAAGGCTTAGCAGTCAGGGGCAACATCTCAGTCCATCTCCTTCCCTCCCTCCGACTCCACTAGGGAAACTAAGGGATGAGCAGCAGGAAGCTGTGATACCAGAGGAGATAGCAGCAGAAACGGGTTCACAGCCTTCTTCTCAAGAGGTGGTGAACAAGTGGGCCTGGGTGAGGAGAGGAGGGTGGGCTGGTGCCCTGGTGGTACTCACAGGTGCTTTCGGAGCAGCCCTTCCTCGGGTGGTGGCAGTAGCAGCAGCCTTTGTGTACAGCTCTAGAGGCTGCAGAGGAGGAAGTGACACGCCCTGGGGTGGGGGGACTCATGTTGGGTGACTGATCTAGCAGAAGGTGGAGCAAATAGGAGTGGGCTGGGTAAAGTGAGGACCTAGAAGGCCCACATGTACTGAGCATCCGTTCCTCATGTGCTAAACTCTCAAGCTGCAGTTAAGAGTCACGAGAACCACATCAGATAGTGGCAGTGCCCCCACCCCTGCCCCAGTGTCACAGAGATTGAGACTGGAAGACCAAGGAGAGACCAACTTTGCAAAAGGTAGCAAGGGGGTGGGCTGTAATCTAAATCCACATCAGCCTCCCTCCAAATTTGATGATGTCTCCAGTTCTCAGAGAGGAAGGAACCAGACAGGAAGAAACAAAGCAGCAGCCAGCACTGCACAGGAGATAACCAAGATAGGCTCCTTTGGAGACCCAGGGACCATCATGGCGGTGTGATGGCTAACAAAACAGACCTCCACCAGATGCGCCGCAGGCCCACTTGGTGCCCGCTAGCCAGCTGTCTCTGAGTCCAGTCCCCGGAAGACTCAGTGACCCCTCCAGAAATGTGCAGCCCGACCTTCCACTTTGTCACAGCATGACTAACTGCTTGTTTGCTTCTGTCACCTGCTTATGCGAACATTTCAGACTATTTTGAGGTCCCCCTTGACCACCTAATCGTGGCAGAGCAAAACAGTTCTTGGTTTGCTAGTGCAGATACTCAAGATCTTGTGGCTTTCACTTCTAAAAATCCTTCCCTCACCCTGCTTTGAGTGGCGGTCTGTAATTTGACTCAGAAATTGCTACCCTGCTAGCAGTATCAATAAACTTAACTAATTGCGATCTGAACTGAGTCAGGGGTCTTGTTCCAGGATCTCAGACTCCTAACAGAGTCACAGCTGAGCTCCTTGGACTCCGGAGCCAAACTGACTGGATTAAGATTCTGACTTTCTCTCCCTCAGCAGGAAGCAGTAAAACTCCTTAGCTGTAGTTGCTAATCCAGGATACAAAACCCGTGGGTCTCAACCCCACTGGGGGCAGAAGGGCCCTTTCACAGGGGTCGCCTAAGACCATTGAAAAACACGGGTATTTACAAGACGATTCTTAACCATAGCGTAATTACAGTTATGAGGTAGCAACGAAAATAGTTTTATGCTTGGGGGGTCACCACAGCGTGAGGAACTGTACTGAGGGTGGCGGTATTGGGAGGGTTGGGAGTCACTGCTCTCATCCTTCCTACAGCTGTTTTCACCTGCACTCAGATTGTGGTAATGAGATGGTTCCAACATAACTGTTTACGAGACTACCTGCCACACTAAGAGAATGGGGGTGGAGTGGGGAGGCAGCTCAGTGTTCAGAGGTCACCCAGCTTTCAGTCAGCATGCTTGCCTAACTTTCAAGAGGTCTTAGGTTCAGTCTCCATCACTGAGAAAAGACACTGTCGGTAGGAATGAGGAGTTTTAGGGGTAAGAAGTGGAGGAGGCTTTATGAGACACAAGGTCTAGACAGCCAGCAGTTAGAGAGGCGTAGACGCAGACTGCTTGCTTGTCCCCAGCCACCCTGACCTGAAAATCACACAGAAACTGCTGAAAGAGACAGTCCTGGAACCTTAGCGGGAAACCATGAGCCTCGTGATAAAACACAACAGGAATGGGTTAATTTAAGACATAAGTTAGTTAATAAGAAGCCTAAGCTATTAGTTAAGGAGTGTTGTAATTAATACAGTTTCTGTGTGATTTTTTGGGTGAGGGCGGCCGGGAATGAATGAGCAGTCTCAGAGAGAGGCACTGGGTGAGGCTTGGATGTGCAACCGGGAGGTCTAAAAGCCAGGACAGTCGACTGTCGTAGAGGGGAGGAAACAGGAAGGCAGAGTGTAGGAGCAGCAGTCAGGGCTGAGGGAGGGAAAGCCTACAGGGAGAATGGGCTGTGTAAGTACAAATGGGATTTTTTTCCTGGCCCACAGAGGACCACTGAGAGCATCTGGTGGAGTTCCCTGTAGGAAAGAGCATTCCCGGTGAGCAAGGACTGGTGCCTGTCAGTCAGCCTCCCTGCTGGAGTCCCATCACAACAGAGTTTCCTGAAAGGGAAGCTGCTGGAAGAGACAACTGGACAGGAGGGGCTCCCCTGGGTGAGCCTTAGCTGGTTCCAGACTGTGGGGCAGCCGGACCTTTTGCCCTTCCCCCTCAACCAGTGGTTACCATGGCAATGCCCTCTTTTCCCTGGCCCTGTGGTTTCCTCTAAATCTTCTTTCACTTTCTTCTTCTGCTTTCTCCTCCTCTTCTGGGCTCCCCTGTCCCACACCTACCTCCTTCCCAGATGCTCAGGTCACTGCTGAAGAGATCCAAGAGCAAGGTAAGCAAAACACTGTCCCAAGGCAGAGTGGGGGGCTGTGAAGGGATTCACAGAGGGCAAGGGGCTGTGGTGGGGTAGAGTTAAGACCTGCAGAAGGTAGAGAACATTAGGAGACAAAGTGACAGGAGAGTCGAGGAAGGAATGGGGGGAGGGACGCAGGGTGAAGAGAAGCCTCAAGTGAGTGGGTCATAGGGTAGATAGTGCAGCACAGAGGATGCAAGAGTCCCCTAAGAGTGAGTTCAATAAACACTAAGCCGGGACGGGTGGCTCAGGTCTGTAATCCCAAGATTCAGGAGGGTGAAGTAGGAGGATTACTAGTTGGAGGCCAGTTTGAGATATAGTGAGACCCTGTGTCAAAACAAACGCACCCAAAAAGCACTGTAGCTTAGATGTGGGGCTGCAGTTCTCTTCCAAGTCTAGAAATAACTGTGCAAACCAAACAAAATTTCAAGAGAGCCCTGGCAGAGCAGAGCAAATACACACTTAGACATCATGAGCTCATTAGGATCCTACCAAAGGTAAGAACTCACTGGTGGGCAGAGGAGGCCAAACATTCAGAGTGGGCCGGCCCTGCAGATCCCAGTCCTCCCTTGTTGCAGCTGCTGAACATAGTTTGTTACTTTTTTTGCTCCCCAAGAAAACCATGAAGTTTGTTAGCAGCTCCACTGCCGACCCAGCTCCTTCTCCAGGTCAGCAGGTCACTCCCCTGTCTTGGTGACTCGGCCCAGAGGGAGCCACATCCCATGAGTTTCCATCACTTTATTTTGCAAAAATAGAAAACTCAGCAATATGCGATACAGCGGGGTGGGGGGGAGATGTAAACAGAGGGGAGGGGGCAGCACCCTGACCCCCCAGAGAAAAGGGGGAGCCTGCAGGAATCTTATTTGGCAGCTAAATACAAATGGGGGGTTGGGGGAAGAAGGAAGGGGTCACAGAGGCCCTGGGCTCCCCCACACAAGACCCCTGGAGGAAAGGGTCATTCCAGGGTGTAAACAAAAGCTAATAAATAAATAGAGGCTTCCTCTGGGTCAGGGTGGGATCAGCTAAGCAGCATCTCCCCTCCCCGGGCCAAGCTGCTCTGGGGGTCAAGGGTAGAAGGCACTAGGAGAGGGATCCCTGTCCCCTCTGTAGTGTAGGAGGGTCCCTGTCTGACGGCTGAGATGGGGGCAGGAGGCCAAGGCACAAGACAGGGCTAAGGGAGGGGTTTGTAAAATAGAGGGCCCAGGATGAGAGCTGCACCTCAGCAGAGAGGTACAGAAAGGGCTTATGCTTCTCCCTTCACCCTCAGGCCCCACCCCAGAAATGCAGGGTCCAGCCTGCCCCTACACCTGGCAGGAGGATGGGGCATGGGGCAGTGTGCATGGCAGGTTCATCACACAGCATTGGGCACCCAGGGTAGGGCACCAGGGTGGGCTCAGCCCTCCTTGAGGACCTCCCCATTTTGGTCTCTAGTGTTCCTGTTTGTTCCCAGAGGCCCAAGCACCTGGCAGAGGAAGAAGCTGTGGGAAGGCGGGGCTTCCTCCTGCCCCGGGAGCCTGTGGCCTGAATCTGATGGGCAGTGCTGAGATATAGAGTTGAGACTCAGGCTCACCCCTTCTCCGTTCTTCTGGTAGGTGCAGGGCAGTCCTCCAGGACTGTAGAGTGAGCCAGTTAGAACAGGACAGGGATGAACACAGGCACCCCTAGAAACTTTGGCAAAACAATGAGCTCATTGGAAAGGTGGGGAGTGGGCAGGGCAGGTCCTCCCCCAGTCACTGGTGCCTGGGGAATGGTCAGTCTGCTGCCTGGAGCCCAGCCCCACAGTGGGGTAGGTCAGGGGCCCTGGTCAGGTTGGGGACTTTGGCCCCCTTTGTCTTGGACCCCTGGAGCTTCATCCTCACTGGAAGCCTTGGGGTGGGGGCCAGGCTTCGAGGAGTCGTCCTCAAACATTTCAGGGTTCTCCAGCATCTCTCGGATCAGGGGGGGCATTGGGCCTGGAATCTCCATCTTCAGGGTAATGGCCCTTTCTGCTCCTACAAGAGAAGGGAAGAGGCTTGGAAAGGCAGAAGCACGTGGGTAGAGGTCCTGCCCCAAACTTCCTTGACTTGACTTCCCTGTGACCACAAGCACTCTGGGCTTAGACGCATCGCTTCTCCTACCTCTGCTTTCGTGTGGTTTCTACGTGCCTTCACCTTGCCTAGAGCTGCTGGTTGAACAATACCCAGCCTGCTGCCTGCTGTCTCATGACTTCAGGCTTTCTCTTCTCTTTTGCTCCTTTTCTAGAGACAGGATCTTACTATGTAGCCCCAGCTATCTTGGAACTCTGTCAGCTAACCTCAACCCTTGGGGTGAGAGGCCAATGCCAAAGCATGCAACTTCAGTCTTGCTATAGCGCTCTGGGTGGCCTTGGATTTGAAGCAATCCTCTTGCTTCGGCCTCTTGTGCGCTGGAATTACAGGCATGTACCACAAGTTTTTGGGGTGTCTTTTCTTTTGGTTTTCTGAGTCAGGGCTTCTCTGTGTGGCCTCAGCTGTCTTCAAACTCACTCTGTAGACCAGACTGGCCTTGAACTCACAGAGATCCATCTGCCTCTGCCTCCCAGGTGCTGAGATTAAAGGCGTGTGCCACAAATGCCCAGCATCTTTTCAAAACTGCACTGTGGGTTTGTGAGACGGCAGATGGCTCAGTGGATAAGCAAGCACAAGCCTACCAACCTGAGTTTGCTCCAATAACCGACATAAAGGTGAGCGGAGAGAATCAACTCTACAGAGCTGTCATCTGACCTCCACACACGTATGGCACACATGTCACACACACAATAATACTCATAAGTAAAACATTTTTCGGGCCGGTAAGATACCTCAGTGAGTAAGGGCATTTGTCAGCCCGCCTGGCACCTCAAGGGCCCACACTGCGAAAGAAGAACTGACTCCTGTGGGCTACCCTCTAATCTCTACATCATACAATGACCAGAACACCCCACCCCACCGTATACAATAAATAAATAAATGCAAAAAAGATTTTGAAGACCACACTGCATGCATCTTCGAGCCCAATGATACAGCACAGTCATCAGGTCTAACGTCCAGAGCTTTCCGGCTGTTTCAGGGCCAGTTATTAATAACTTTTATAACAGATAATGCTAATCAAATGCTTATGTTACAGGCACTCTTCTGAGCCAGCACTGCTCAAGAGAACTCTCTGTGATCGTGGTAATGGCCAGGCTAGCCTTGAACTCATGAGCTCAAAGTAATCCTCCTGCCTCAGTCTCTCTATTGCTGAAATGACATGTGCGAACCACCATTCGTCACGCACGGCTCCATGCCAGGCTCTTAATTGCCATCTCTATGTAGTGAGTTCATTTAGTTCTTATGATCAACTTTTGAGGCAGTATTAAGTTTAGCCCACCCAGTTTCCAAACAGAAAAATAAGGAGGGCTGGGGTGTCACTATGCATAGAGTATTTCCCTAGCACGTGCAGGAACTGGGGTTCTACCCCTAGCAACACACACACCAGCAACCAAACCAAAAGAAAAAGATTTGTCTGAAATCTTCCCAGGAGGATACAGTCAAGCTAAGACTCCATGGAGGTCACTGGATTCTCAGCTCCCCTCTCTTCCTTAGCCTGCCCACCGTGTGACTCAGGAGACCTGCAGATCTGGGAAGGGGCTGACTCATAACGAACCCTTGGTGCTGATGCCCCGGAGGTCAGTGATTTTCATAAGCATCCTTGGAAACATGTAGGGTTGGCTGGGTCTCCGTCGCCGGGCGTAAAGCCTCAGGGCTTCCAGCAAGGGCTCCTGCAGCTTGTCCACCTTCTCGGGTTCCTCCAGGTCCATGCGGTCTGTACAGGTAAGTACAGTGGAGTGGGTGGGGAAGGATATGGTGACAGGTGGCTGACCCCCAACAGACCCTCTTCTGAGGGCCTCAAAGTCAGACTGTCTCCTCAGCCCCTTCACCGCCGTCCCTGACCCTCCAGGTTATCTTCCCCTGACGTAAGGCCTGCCTGTACCTTTAACCACTCAGCAAGGACCTTGCTCCTGCCCATCACTCCTACATCTCAGCACTGTAGCCAGGGTTTCTGAGTTCCCTGGACTCTGCCTCCTCCTTTTGTCCTTAGCTTGGTTAGCCAGTAAGGATATACATGATCTGAGAAGTCTGTGGGATGGAGTCATGAACCAGTGTGGATAATGTGGTAGAAAAGGTAGCCCATGCAGACACCAGGGGGCGCCCCCGCACCTCCACAGATGAGGCAGATGGCACTGAGCAGCCCAGTCTCTGTGTCATCCATCTCCAGGGGCAGCAGCTGCCCAGCGAAGGCAAAGACGAGGTCTGTAAGGGGCCCAAAGCCAGCATTGTGCATCTGGGTACGGTTCAGGGTCAGTCCATCCGAGAATGTCATGGTGTCTTGCTCTGGGGTATACCTTGTACAGATTCGCAGCATCTAGAGGTTGAGGGTAAGCACAGTAGTTAGTGCTGCCCCTGAGGAAGAACTCTGAGATTGGAAAGGGAAGGCTCGGTAAACAGGAGGCAAAGGCTAAGACAGAAAGAGCTTCAGCAGAGAAAAGGGTCAAACTGGTCCAGAACTCATAGGCTAACTCACTAGGATATCCAGGCAGGCAGCCTTGAGCAGAGTGATCTGGTCAGCAATGCTGAGTCCTGTGAAACCTGGCAAGCGCTTAGCAAACTCCACAATCTTGATGATGCATTTGGTGGCCAGCTCACTGAACTTGTCCCACAGCCCCAGGTCCAGCTGTACCCGGTGATCTGCACTGGAGTTCTGCAGGAAGTAAAGATGAATTAGATGTGAAGGCTCCCCTCTGCACTACAGACCCCGCAGCCCTGTCCATTCCTGAGGCACACAGCGCCCTCCCCAGACGCTGCCCGCTCCTCACCGTGGTGTACTTGCCCAGCTGGCAGAGCGAGGGGAAAGTCTCCTGGTGGGCTTTGCTGACCTTGGTGATGAGCTCCTCTAACTGTGGGCTCAGTTCGTAGCTGTCAGGTGAACCCTCTTCCTTTATCTCTTTTTTCTTCTTGTTCCGGTCATTCCTTACAGCTTGGGGTTGGAGCAAAGGGGAAGTCAGGACCCTCGCAGTCAGCTCAGAGTGCTCAGTTCTCAGTAAGAATATACATTTCTTCCCTGGAACCCTAATTAGTGCCTTAATTTCCCTATCTTCTACATAAACTCCCATTTCCAGGCTGGTTTGCCCCAGCCCCACCCAGGGCCTGAAGCCATGCTCCCTCCCCAGGCCAATTGGGCTCCATCCTGCCCTTCCGGTTGCCCCGCAGGAGCTGGAGGTTGGGGGGGGGCAGGATATGCAGGCAGGATATCCACTTATAGCCTTGGCAGCACAATGGTGGGGGGGTGGGAAGGAGGGGCCAGACCTGTCCTGTGAAAGAACAGAGGAGGGGAGGGACCAGACTAACCCTCCGGCTCCATCAGAGAGAAGAAAGAAAAACCCTAGGACCCAGGTTTCAGAAGAATAGTTAAGAGAGGGGAGAATGGTAGCCGGTTGTGGCCCACAGGTGAAAGAAGCCAATCTAAAGGGCTGGTCTTGGAGAAGGAAGCAGCTCCAGGCCAGTCAGTGAAGCAGGACAGCAACGGGGGAGACCACAGGATGGGGCAAGATGGAAGAGAAGGCCATAGGATGGAGCAGGGAACCTACCTTCCTTGGACATGCCCACTTCGAAACACTTTTGTAGCCGGCAGTACTGGCAGCGATTCCTGGTTACCTTGTTGATGATACAATTTTTGTCACGGTGACATGTATACACCATGTTTTTCTGGATGCTGCGCCTGAAGAAGCCCTGAATTTGAGAGCAGGAGGCGTGTCGTTGAAACAGGATGCTGGGGACACTAACATTTCTCAAACCATACAGGTGGCCCTAGGCCTGACCCAGTCTGTTTTGTTTGTGACAGGAGTGCTGGAGAAATGACTGAACCTAGAGCCTTCTGCATGCTAGCAGGCATTCTGACACTGACCTGCGACCTCAGCACCTCACCCCATCTGTCAATCATCCATGCACCGAGCAGCCCCTCATCCCACACAGGCAAAACTCATATGAACACAGCACCTGGGTCCCCCATCTTTAAAATATTTCTCATTATTTATTTTGTGCGTATTGGGGGTGGAGGGTACATATGTAACCACAGGGTACAAGTAGAAGTCAGAGTAGTTACTTCTCTTTTCCTTCCACTACGTGGGCCCCAAGGATAAAATTCAAGTCAGGCTTGGCACCAAACACCTTCTACTAACCCAATTTAAAGGGAAGAGTGCCCCCTCCACGATATTGTTTTTGGTCAGAGGGTCTCTGTTATGTGTTGCTGAGGCTTCACATATGCTAAGCAAGCATTCTACCCGTGTGTCCCCATCTCTAGTCTTACCCCACCATATACACACCTTGCAGCCTTCACATGAGCTGACCCCATAATGGTAGCCGGAAGACTTGTCATTGCACACAAAGCATGGCTTATAGACCCGAGGAGGTGGTGGGGGTGAGGGAGAGCTGGGCACCATTTCCTCGGAGCTAGTGCTCTGTGTCTCCACCGCTGGGGGGAAAAGCAGCAGGTCAGCAGAAGCATCCTCACCTAATGGCCTCTCTTGGGACCTGCTGTGTCCAGGCAGTCACTGTCCCCAGCTTGCTGGGATTTCAGGCCCCTACCACCCACCCTCACTCCCGGCCCCCATTTGGCCAACTACTCTTCTACATTGATGCTCATTCCTCCAGATTCCAGACCAATGCCAACCTAGAAGTTAACGTCTCTGCTTTTATTTCCCCAGTCATAAAGTTGGAGAGATGGCTCAGCGGTTAAGAGCACTGGCAACCCTTCTAGAGGACCCGGTGCTCAATTCTCAGCACCTACAACCATCTGTAACCAGGTCCAGGAATCCAGTTCCCTCTTCTGGCCTCTGTGGACACCAGGCACATACATGGCACACAAAAACACATACAGGCAAAACACCTATACACATTAAAAAAAAAAAAAAGTGGGGAATGGCAGAGCTAGGACTCCCTGTCACCCCGGGAGCACTGAGTTCCACCATCCTCAGTTTCTGGGCAGCAGAAGTGGAGCCGATGGACAGTTGCAGGCCACCTACAGCCTGCACCTGGCTGAATGACTTAATTCATTTAATTCACTCCTGAAAGGAGAAGCATTACCAGTAGGGTGAGCAGCTCAGTTTCACACTGCCAGCTGACAGCGGAGACAAGGCTCTCAGGTCTTCTGACCAGAGCTAAGTGGCCTTTAGGGAAAGAAGCTGGAGGGAGACAGGTATTTGCTCAGATCCTTAGGTCTAGGAGCAGTTTGGGGGTGAGCACAGAGTCAGGTGACCTAGAGTAAACAGAGCCGAGGGGGAAGGGAGCGATCCCAGACCCTTTCGGAGCCAGGCTTCACTCATAAAAGTCTCAGAAAACAACTGTAGTTGGAAGGAATCTTAGCCCACGCCCAGAGTAGGGGAAGCCCACTCTTCATAGAGGAGGCTGCTAGGTCCAGGCCGCAGGCTGTATGAGTGTGACATCCTCATCCTCAGAGGCTTAGGACTTCTGAAAATTATTCAGCCTGCAGGACCGGTTACCCACATTTGCAAGGCCCAAGTGACTGGAAGAGAGCTTGAAGATCCTCAGTAGCCTTTGAACCCACCTCCTGTACCGTGTCCTTCGTCTCACCCTCTGCAGCCCACCTGGTCACAAGTGCAACTGACCCAAAGCAATGAGAGGGAGGCCCAAAAGCTGGGGACCTCACAAAGAGGGAAGCCCTCCTCACCCCCACCCCCACATACCCAATTTGCATAAGAATCCTTCTGGAGTTTGAGCCCCCCCTGCAAGGAGTGGGGGCAGAAGGGTGAGTGCTGGGAGTTTATTCAGGACTGGGGGTGGGGTTGCCTGTGTCTGTAGTAGGTGCCTAGAGGCGTGGGAAGGACTGGGATGCCTTTCAGGTCCTTGCTCTTTCAGCCCATCCGGGGGTCGCCAGGGCACGGGCCTTGTCCACAGGCCCGTGCGTGGGCTGGTACTCTCTCCTGCACTGACGCCCTCTCTACCCACAAAGCACTACCCCATTTCCTCATTTCCTCTCTTGCGCAAGGCCTGGGTGCGGTCAGACTGGCATGGGGTAGCACCAGCCAATTATAAGATGGCAGGCCCCAGAGAGCCTGCCCTTGGGCAGCTTTTCCCATCTTAGTGGCACTGTCACCCATTCTCGACACTCCCCTGGCACCTCCTCGCCCCCCCTGTATCCTAAAGTGCAACTCAATGGTTCTGAAGTCACTGTGGGTGGAGGGAGCTAAAATGCTAACAGGGTCTTCTGGGAGGCAGGGTGATCCCCTCTTCACCCCAAGCTGAGACCTCTACATTGGGCTGCTGCTGCTGCAGGGTTAGGAACAGGCCCCTGCCGAGGAGGAGGGGGTGGGCTCTAGGGTTTTCTCCTTTTAAAGCCCAAATTGCTGAAATTGAGGAAATTCCTGGCCAGGCTGAGCGGAGCTTCAAACAAACTCGTTATAAGCGGCTGTAAACGCTCCCAGCTGCGAGGCCCAGAGCTGAGCTGCCAGGACTCGCGAACACTCACACACAGCTCCTTGAAGACGTCCTTTTTTTTTTTCATTTGGTTTTTTTCTGACAGGGTTTCTCTGTCTTGTTTTGGAGCCTGTCCTGGAAGTCGCTCTGTAGACCAGGTTGGCATCGAATTCACAGAGCTCTGCCTGCCTCTGCCTCTGCCTCCCGAGTGCTGGGATTAAGGCGTGTGCCACCACTGCCTGGCAAAGACACACACAGACACAAAAGCAGGCAGACTGCCTGTGGGTTCCTTAGCGGGACCCAGAGCTCTAAACAGACATCAAGCCATACTTAGTCCATGTAGGTGGATGACAAGCAGCACCCAACAGTGGGCTACACAGTTACAAGCCAACGGGTCTACCACCATAGAAACTGTAGAAACACCACAGTAGGCCAGCACAACAGCAGGACACCCAGGTCCCCATCCAAGTGTCACAGACACACCACTCAGCTCTACTCTGAAATACGTTCCCTCCTTGAGAGTGCCAGGAGGCCTGCCGCTGGTTTTAGGTGCCCACCAGGGCCCTGCTAGTCAAACTGACCAGATCAAACTAATACACAAAAACTCTGAGCTACCAAGCCCAAAAGGTCTCTAGAGGTCTAAATGGCCCCTGCCCAGGGCCTCTGCAAGTTATCTCTATGTCAAACACCAACCAGTGTGCCTAATCTCCCGTTATTCTGGGCATGACAAGGTTAAGGATTCACAGAAATTTGGTATTAGTACCATGTTGTCTCACCCTTTAAATAGCACACTTCAATTCTTATCCCACCCATCCCCAATACTGTCTCCTGTCTGCTACCTCCCTTTTCCACTCTCCCAGTTGTTAAATCTGAGTAGCTCTGCCCTGGAACAAAAAAAAAAAAAAAAAAAAAACTGAACTTGTAAACAGCGCTGCCGAGTGCCAAGGAGCGAGGCGCGTTGGCGGGGGCTCAGTGACCCGGCGTGCGCACTCCCCCAGCGCCTGCCACCCCGCCCGCTGCCCGCCCCTTCCCAGAGTGCCCCCAAGCCTAGGTCTGCAGTCATCCGTACCCGGGCTACGAGCGCAGTGCCAACCCCCAGTAAATCTGGGGGGGGGGTGTTCCAGGCTCCTATCCCAGCCTCTTCTTCATAGCCCACCCCCGCCAGGCACTGTGGCCCAGGCTTCAAAGCCGCTTCTCATCTGGACTTTATTTTTACTGCCTCTCAGTCCCCAGCTTTTTATTACCGCTCTGGAAAGGGGTTCCAGGGCCCCATGCCTGGCATCTCCCATTACAGAGAAGGGAAAGACGGATATTTGGGGGCCTGACGATTGTTCTCCCCTACCGGCTGTCACTTCCAGACCACCACCCCCCCCACTCCATACACTTGGCTTGAAACTTTTCTCTTCCTGCTGAAGTTGTGTGCTGGAGCCATAGAAAAAAGTCATCTGTCAAGACAACCGAATACACACTTCCAGCTTTTTGTTTGTTTGTTTTAATGAGGATAAACACAGAATCCAGCTTTCTCGCTCTTCTGTGCACACCCCTTGCACCCCACAAGCAGAGCACACAGGATGCTCTCTAGAACACAGCACTTTCCAAAACCGCCCCCGCAGCCACGCAAGGCACACGCCCTCCCGACCTCATGCCACAAACATCCCCACACCGGGTCACGCAACTCTGCCAACACAGGCGCAGAGGGTGACAGTGGGTAGAGACCCCTGTTCCACACCCACATCTCCTAGGCAAAGGTCTGCATAGGCTTTGCAATTTTTTTTAAAAAATGCTCCCAACTTCCCGCATGGACTTTAGGGACGCCACCCACGGTCCTGGGTGCCATATCCCTCCAACTAAGGACCTGAGGACACACTAACAACATAAATCCGTCTCTCCTATCCCCAGGAACTCGGGAGTGGCATCAACCAAAGCACTAGCTAAATACCCACCATAAAAAACACACACAACTCCAAACACTACAGCACTCACGCAAAGGAGACCAACTCTGAGGCCCTCATGTTTAAAGGGCCAGTACCTCACATAGAAAGGACCAGAATACCCGCTTGCACCCCAGGTTTAAACTTTACCTACGGAAATAGTAAGCACCAGCTTCTCGTACACCCAATACCCTACCCCCAAATTCGAACACCTACATTGTAGACTGGCAGGTTGCGCCCAGGCAAAAGACTCAAGTCCGACGAAACAGGAGCTGCCAGTGGCTCTGCGTAGCAAGCCGGCCCCGGGCCCGGCGGCCCCATAGAGCCGTCGCGGACCCGGGGCAAACGATTCCATGCAGTCGTACATCGCGAGCCGGCTTGGAGAGAAACTGGGTGCTAGAATATCGAGGACCCGCAGCCCATTCCCCCTCCTCCCCCCGCAGCGCCCTGCTCCTGGAGGGGGGAGGGGGAGGGCTAGCGTAGGGCGCTGAGATCCATGGGGGGTAAGGGGTGGGCGGGGAAGAGGGGGGATCCCCAGCAAGGGAAAGGGACTGGGCGGGGCGCGGAGGCGAAGCAGCAGTTTCTGCCTCCGTCAAGCTCACTTAGGGTGCTTGGGCAGCGAGCACTGTGGAGACCTTTTGTAAAAGCAGAGCCTGGAGGGATGGGGGTGGGGCTTGGAGAGCGAAGGGGGCCGGGCACCAAGATGAGCAGAGCGGGGAGTGGAGCACTTACACATTCACACTCGTCTACTCGCTGCGCGGCGCACGCGCTTGCTTAGACATACATCTGTGCATGCACTTATTATGGCAAGCAATACAAATTTGCAAATGTGCAATAGTGCACAAGCATATCTGCACCCACAATAAATTCATAGGTGCCCGAATTTGTGCAAATACACCTGACTCAGGAAAATGCTTGAAATCAGGTTCTCTCTACAGTCCTGAGGTTTTGCACGCATTTGCACTTAGGCGCGTGCCCAGATTGGGATTGGGGGAAGGAGTGGAGGAACTAAAATGCACGCATTTCCTTTTACAGCGTCTTCCCCCTCCCTTCAACCCTTTCTTCGGCACAAGTCAACACAAGCAAGAGTGTTAAGGATGACTGCGTG